TTTAAATTATTTTATTTATTTTATTTTATTTTCCCACAGAAGAACAGGTGTGAGAGAGAGAGAGAGAGAGAGGAGAGAGGAAAGTGAGAAAGCAAGCCACCAAGTCCAGGACTCAAACCGTGGTCAGCCATGTGGGAATCCAGTGCTCCTAACCACCATGCCACCTGCCGGCCCCATAATTTCTTTTTTATTTTTAAGTGCCTTTATTAAGATATAATTCTCATGCCATACAATCCACATTTAAAATGTACAATTCAATAGTTTTCAGTATAGGCACAGATATGTGTAGTTATCACTATAGCCAATTTCAGAAGGGTTTTTTTATCACCTTAGAAAAGAAAACCCTACCTACCTACCTACCCTCCAGCTACTACTGCCTATCACCAATCCTAAATAACTATTAATCCACTTTATTTCTTCTTTTTCAATCTGAAAATAGTTTATTGATATTTCGGGTCTTGCTCAAAATTAAGAACTGTAACCTGAAGCAATAGAAATACAGATTGTAAATTTCTGAACACCAGTGCCATGTTTTTCAAGCTGCTGGGTCCAGGACTCGAACTGCACTGTCAGCCATGTGGGACCCACTCGTCTTAACTTCCATGCCACCTACATGGAAACACCTACTAGTGTCTTAAGATTTTAGAATCTTTATAGTCTAATGACATTTATCATGTGTCCTACCACAAACACTCATTTTGTTTTCTTAAAAATTTTTGCCTTAGCGCTTGTGTGCTTGCTGGAGAGAGAGAGAAAGAAAGTGAGGGGGAAAGTGAGAAAATCACCCTTTCGGGGGGATGACCATGCTACAACTGTTACTCCTCCATTCTATCCCTGGGATCTTGGGCACGCATGCACTCATGTCCGGTGTGAGTTTCAAGCCACCTGTCTGGGACTTTGTTATGCAGGAGTCCAGTGACATAACCACTATGCCATCTGTTGGCCCCCAACACAAGTTTGTTTTTTTTACTAACTTAGAGTAAAAAAAATTAATACTTATTTATTTTATTTATTATTATTATTCTTAAATGTGCTATGGGGGACATGCACTCACCAGACAGACACAGAGAGGGAGAGAGAGGGACAGTGAGAAAGCAAGTCACCAGGTCTGGGACTGGAACCACAGTGGGAGTCCAGTGCTCCGACCACCACACCACCCGCTGGCCCTGAGAAAATATCTTTATAGGGCCAAAATTATTCATCTTTTCCTTCATGATTTCTGACTTTGTTTATATGCTTCTGTAAAATGAAAAGAATATTATTGGCCTTTAGGCAGTAGGGAAGGGGGCATTTGAGCCATAATATGGACAAAGAGAAATTGCACTTCATGCGTTAGTGGTTCTCGGATTGTGGGCCTGGCCAGTGGTGACAACATCACCTGGGAGCTTGTTGGGAATGCAGATTCTCAGGTTCCACCCCAGACTTACTGAACCAAAAACTGCGGTAGGCATCGTGATAAGCCCTCCAGGTGATTCCAATGCAAGTTGAAGTTTGAGATGCACTCAGATGGAGAAATTGGGGTTTGTGGCTGGCTGCCCACGTGACAGAGAGTAAGGAAAAGGAGAGGAGATGGGAGGAGATCCCAGAAGGAGACCAGACCCAGTAACATAACGTCTGGCCAGAGACCAAAAGGGAAAATAAAAAACTAGCAAACAGACAAAAACGGAACTGTTGCAGAGACTTTACAATACCGGATAGTCAGTTTTAAATCGTTTTCTGTTCTGTATCTTTTTCCACCCAAATTGCCAATTAATTGAACAGCATTTGTTGAATAACTTGCTTGCCTCTCTGATTTATAACAGCATCTTCATCTTAAGGTAAAGCCTATTTCTGGGTTCTCTAGTCTGTCCATCCATTTCCCTGTCTATTTCTGAGCTCATACTATACATTTTTTTTTTTTTTTTGGAGAGGTTTTTGCTATAGGGCGCATGCGCTCACCAGACAGACAGAGAGAGACAGAGAGATAGAAAGCAGGAAATCACCCCCCAGGGGGGGTGGCCACGCCGCAATCCCTTCTCCTCCATTCTCCTCTCGGGATCTTGGGCACGCACGCACACGCGCCCGGCGTGAGTGTTAAGCCACCGGGTCCGGGACGTGAACCGCGGTCGACTACGTGGGAGTCCAGCGACATAGCCATTACGCTAACTGCTGGTCCCTTTCTTCTTCTTTTTTTTTTTTTTCTCATACTACACTTTTATTTCATGTTGTTATACTATCTTTAAACTTCTTGAAGGCTGTCTTCTACTCAGGATTGCTAGCTAAAACACAGATGCCCTGTTAACTTTGAATTCAGACTTATTTTTATTTGCTAAATCTGACAGTCCTACTCTGACCCTATTATTTTTTCAATATTTTCTTAGCTATAGTCACTACCTATTCTTTCATGAGATTTTTAATCGCATTATCAAGTTTCCACAAAAACATCCTATTCAGTTTTAACTAGGTTTGCATTACATATGTAATTAAGTTTGGATATAAATGCCTTTTCCCCCCTATAAAGTTCTAGTCTTTTAGTCCTGAAACATGGTATATCTCTGAACTTAATCAAAGTCTCCTTTTGGTAAAGTTCTATGGAATTGTTTTGTTGTTTTGCTCTCATTTTTGCTTTTCATGTAGATCCTTGTTAAGCTTATTTCTACTTATTTATACATTTTAAAATCATTATTTAATTTAATTTATTATTATTATTTTAAATTTGACCACAGAGAGGCAGAGAGAGAGAGGGAAAGTAAGAAATCATTCCCCAGGGGAGATGGCCATGCCACAGTGCCTTCTCCTCCATTCTCCTCTCAGAATTTTGGGCACCCTCTCAGGATTTTGGGCACTCACACACACGTGCCTAGAGTGATTTTCAAGTCACCAGGTCTAGGACTCAAACTGCAGTGGGCCATGTGGAAACCCAGCGCCTTAACCACCACACCACCTGCTGGTCCTAGGAGCACTATTCATTCTTACCTACTCACTCACACTATCATAAATCTCTCCTCAACAGTAATAAATATTAACAGCTCTGTGTGTACACTTGAGGCATTTTCTAGGCATTTAAAGCATAACATAAAATGCCATTGATACATATTTGCATATATACACATTTTTGTATACATGGACCCTTACTATGCATATTGTTCTTAGACTCTTTTATATTAAGCCATCTTACCAAACTTGGTCGTTAGTTCTAAAATGTTACTAATTGATTCACTTAGATTTCTAGATAAGACAATTATGACTGTTGCAAATTATTGCAATTTTTTGTTATTTATAATTTTGTTTCTTTTCCTTAAATTGTTTCTTAGGCTAAAATTTTCTTAATGTAGCAGTGGATATAGTAGCATGTAATTTTAGTATCCCACTAGAACAGAAACCATAAATTCAAATGCCACAGGGAGAAAATAGGCAATGAAAATGCATAAAACTAGTTTATGCAAAACAGTGAAGAATGACAAGGAATTTTGAATGGGGGAGTTCACATTCCATCTAAAAGAGGAATCGTACACTCACTTCCGGCTGTTGCCAATAAGAACATGGACTGATTACAGTCAAATTTAGTTTGTCATTCTGAAGATCTAGTTTTGTGTGTGTGTGTGTGTGTGTGTGTGTGTGTGTGTGTGTGTGTGTGTAAGCTAGATTTTTCAGAAACATTGACAGTTAATTTAAGTTTGCAATCCTAGCAAAGTATGTCTGTAAGTTTGGCCTGCAAGTCTCCTTAAGTGACTTCTGATCTACAGTTTTAGTGTTAAGCATGATGTTGGCAGTTTGTTTCTGACAAATATTCTTCACAAGGTCAGAGAATTTTCTAGAAATGCAATATGAAATGTCTCTGTGATAGCCGACAAAACAGAAAGTCGAGAGGGATCTGCGAAGCCAGGGTATCAAGGAAGTGCAGCTCAGAAATGGGTAAGAAGGTGGACTAAGTGGTCCCACCCAGCACAACGCACGTCGTTACCCATGCCTTATAAACCTTTTCCCAAAAATTGTGGTTTCACAAAACTCTAGCTTTTGTGGATTTACTCCCCATAGTTTCCTATAATCCACAGTCAATTTTTAATATGTTAGAACAAAGCACAAATTTTTCTGAGTCAGAAAACTAGGATAATAAATATTGAAAAGTAGACAGAGCCACCAGGAACATTTCTAAAGCTCTATATATTCATTATCTTCAACAAAACAAGACCAACTTATTGGCACCATATTGACAGTGTGAGAGAGAAAGTCTTTGAAGTGTGTCAGAGTAAGAAGGCAGGATAAACGAAAATTACATCATTCATACATGATTAATTTAAGATGATATCTTCTTTGTATAGTGTACTGAAATTATTTTTTGATGATTTAAAAAGCTGTTTATAGGAGTATAGATTTTTGCTAGATTACAAAATAGCCTACATCCTAACATTTTGGAACAGTAAGACTTACATTTGAGGAGACAATGTTTTAGTGATCACTTTAGGAAAAAACAATTGTTGAATGAGTGCCATAGTTAATGAATAACAATGAAGTTCATTTACCTAAAAAGCTAAATTTTAAATACTTGTTATACATAGCATTGACTGTAATGCACAATGCTATCTTTAGCACTAATCCTAACAGTAATAAAAACCTTAACCTAAACAATGAATATAGTACTCCCAGCCTTCATCCTAATCTTAAGTCTATACAAGGTTAGCAACCTCTGCAGTCCAAGAGAAAACAGAAAATAGAGTGAACACTAGAGAGAAAACAAGGCTATTTGGGAAAAGGGGAAACTCAGAATGGAACATAGCTTATCATGCTACCCTCATCATTTTTATCAGTATGACCTTCAACTAAATCCTGAACCAAATCTCAACATTTTTCAAACTACCATTGAGACATATCTCTTGGTACCTCTACCTGCCAATCCAAAGCTTCCCAATTCCATTAGGAAATATAAACCAAACGGTGAATGTGGAAATTCCTGACACACCTTTGGCACAGACACCCAATAAATTATGTATCCTAAAAACTCTTTAAACAGGCAGATCACAATGCAGGAACTCAACCAGTCCACCGTGACAGAATTCATTCTGTTGGGCTTCGCCCCAAATCCCAGGACCAATCCTCTGCTCTTCACCTTCTTTTTAGTCTTTTACCTGCTGATTCTTGTGAGCAACGGCCTCCTCATCACGCTCATCTACCAGGACTCACGCCTCCACACGCCCATGTACTTTTTCATCGGTGTCCTCTCCATGCTGGACGTATGCTACACCACGACAACCGTGCCCCAGATGCTCGTACACATCCTCAGCAAGAGGAGGGCCATCTCTTTCGCGAGGTGTGCGGCCCAGATGTACATCTTCCTCCTCTTTGGGGTCACCGAGTCTTGGCTGTTCTCCATCATGTCCGTGGACAGGTACATGGCCATCTGCCACCCTCTCAGGTATAAGGTCATCATGAGCCGTTGGGTGTGTCTCCTCATGGCGGGCATCTGTGCAGCCTACGGTGTGTTGGGTAGCCTGTGCTACACTTTCTTTGCTATGCGTTTGCCCTATTGTGGTCCGAATGAAATTGATCACTATTTCTGTGAGGTTCCTGCTGTCCTGAAGCTGGCCTGTGCAGACACATCCCTCAATGACTTGGTGGACTTCATCACTGGTTTCAATGTTATTGTGGTCCCACTCTCTCTGGTTGTCATTGTCTATGCCAACATCTTTGCCGCCATTATGAAGATCCGCTCGGCCCAGGGGCGGATCAAGGCCTTCTCCACCTGTGCTTCCCACATCACTGTGGTCACCATGTTCGCCATCCCCTGCATCATCATGTACATGGGCCCTGGCTCTGGCTCTCTATCAAACAATGGCAAAAAGATGGCCCTATTCTACAACATTGCCACATCCTTCCTCAATCCTGTCATCTACAGTCTAAGGAACAAGGATGTAAAAAAGGCCTTCCTCAAACTGATGGGACAGAGCAGAGCCTCACAGTGAAGCTTTAAAGCTATCGGCCTGCGGAGCTGAACGAAGCAGGGCTTTTGATCACCAGCTCCCCGAGGACTCATCCATGAGATCTGGCAATGCTGGACTCTACATAAAGATAACTCTCTAGTGGGAGGGCAACAAGGTGCTCAGACATCTACAGTATCTATGGTGATATTTGAGACAGTTATGAAACTGAAGTGCAGTGGTTAAAAGCCTGAACTTTAGTGCCAGGCAGACCAGGATGACAGATTTGATTTTATCAATTGTTAGGTATGTGAATTTTTGCAAGTCATTTAACATCTCTGAGGTTTGTGATTCTTCCTCAAAGGGAATTTGTAATGATTAAATGAGATAATATGTGGAAAGTGCTTAGTACAGAGCCTGACATAGATAAATGTTAGTTTTAATTTCTTAAAATTTGTTACTCAGGGCCAGTAGGTGACTAGTGGTTAAGATGCTGGACTTCCACATGGTTGATCGTGGTTCAAGTCCCAGACCCAGCAGCTTGAAACTCAGGCCAGTCATGTGTGTGTGCATGCCCAAATCTTGAGAGGAGAATGGAGGAAATGGTTTTGAAAAGGGGATGGCCATCCCCCCTGAGGGGTGACTTCTAATTCTCTGTCTCTTGGGTGAGTGCCTTATAGCAAAAATCTCTCTTAAAAAAAGAAATTTGTTACTCAGGGGCCAGACCATGGCCTGGTGGTTCAAGTGGCTGAATCCCATATGGCCAACTGCACAGTTCAAGTCCTGAGCAGGGTGACTTGAGAAATACACTGGCCACATGTGCATGCATCCCCAAAATTCCAAAAGGAAGAAGAGATGAAGAGGGGATTGCAATGTGGCCATGCCGCATGTGGGGTACTTTCTCATTTTCCTTCACTCTTACTCTCTCTGTCTCACTCTACTGAGTGCATGTACCCTCTGCCAAATTAAAAACAAACAAACGAAAACTACTACTCCTGAATAAACTATCACCCACTAATCAGTCATGATCTTCCCTGGCTCCAAAAGTGGCTGGAGTCCTAGAGAGTAAAGGAAAAAAAGAGAAAAGTGAAAAAAGCAGAAAGCCAAAAACTAAAACGTGGAGAATGTCAGAGTGAGAAAGAGATTGGAGAGGAGAAACTAAACCTACCTACCCATCAACAAACTGCCAGTTAAAGCATCCGGGGTTGATTAAAGTTATCTTGGGGAAAAAGCTGTTTGGCAACCATTTTTTTTTTCCTGTGCTTTAAAAATTTTGTGCTTCTTAATGTTCCTTTTACTTTGTTTTTAATAAAGTCCCTTTTGGTAAACTACAGCCTGTGTTGGTGATATAAAAAAGGGGGAGAGGGTGGATCCTGTTTGTATAAAGATGAAGAAAATGAGGAAAACTAGCAGGAGGAGAATGGGCATAGTGTTGCCTCCAGATGAAAATGTAGAGAATCTGGAGAGACGTAAAAGCTCAATGAGGAGAACTAACTCTGCTCTGAGAGAACCTTCCTCCCCAAGACGTGTGTATTTCTCACAGAATCTCTACAAACATAAATTATATTCTCCCAGGCTTCACCATTATGTAGGGTCACATTATCAGGGATCACCAATATTTACTGGCTTTAGCTTCTACTTGATGGTGCAGAAACTCCAGCACCTAAAAAGCAATTCCTAGGGGAACCATAGAAACCAATCCCATAAGCTGATTTGCAGCACACCCAGCAGGGTTCTGCTTCCCCAGTTCCTTTGCTGATGTGATCTGCTTAGGGAACCCCTTGCAAAAACTCCACCGAGCTGGCTAGAAAATATTGTCTGTTTGTTTTACGTGTTTATTTCTTCAGAGGGAGAAGACTGAGAGAGGACCCCCAACAGGATCTCAATGCTGTGATCTACCCCCAGCCTCAGCCACCCTGGATCATGGGCACACATATGTTGGTCATACTCAGGGAGATCTCTGGACACCAACGTGGAACTTTTCCATGTGGGTAGCCTCGCAGAATGTCATATTTTATTTCTGTGCCACTGTCTGGCCCCTGGATGGAAAAATTCAGCACATATACCTGTGCCCCCAGTGAGAGGCCAGCATTCATGCCAAAGATGTAGGTTCCCGATGTTCTCAAGGCTTAGTACAGAGCCTGACATAGATAAATGTTAGTTTTAATTTCTTAAAATTTGTTACTCAGGGCCAGTAGGTGACTAGTGGTTAAGATGCTGGACTTCCACATGGTTGATCGTGGTTCAAGTCCCAGACCCAGCAGCTTGAAACTCAGGCCAGTCATGTGTGTGTGCATGCCCAAATCTTGAGAGGAGAATGGAGGAAATGGTTTTGAAAAGGGGATGGCCATCCCCCCTGAGGGGTGACTTCTAATTCTCTGTCTCTTGGGTGAGTGCCTTATAGCAAAAATCTCTCTTAAAAAAAGAAATTTGTTACTCAGGGGCCAGACCATGGCCTGGTGGTTCAAGTGGCTGAATCCCATATGGCCAACTGCACAGTTCAAGTCCTGAGCAGGGTGACTTGAGAAATACACTGGCCACATGTGCATGCATCCCCAAAATTCCAAAAGGAAGAAGAGATGAAGAGGGGATTGCAATGTGGCCATGCCGCATGTGGGGTACTTTCTCATTTTCCTTCACTCTTACTCTCTCTGTCTCACTCTACTGAGTGCATGTACCCCCTGCCAAATTAAAAACAAACAAACGAAAACTACTACTCCTGAATAAACTATCACCCACTAATCAGTCATGATCTTCCCTGGCTCCAAAAGTGGCTGGAGTCCTAGAGAGTAAAGGAAAAAAAGAGAAAAGTGAAAAAAGCAGAAAGCCAAAAACTAAAACGTGGAGAATGTCAGAGTGAGAAAGAGATTGGAGAGGAGAAACTAAACCTACCTACCCATCAACAAACTGCCAGTTAAAGCATCCGGGGTTGATTAAAGTTATCTTGGGGAAAAAGCTGTTTGGCAACCATTTTTTTTTTCCTGTGCTTTAAAAATTTTGTGCTTCTTAATGTTCCTTTTACTTTGTTTTTAATAAAGTCCCTTTTGGTAAACTACAGCCTGTGTTGGTGATATAAAAAAGGGGGAGAGGGTGGATCCTGTTTGTATAAAGATGAAGAAAATGAGGAAAACTAGCAGGAGGAGAATGGGCATAGTGTTGCCTCCAGATGAAAATGTAGAGAATCTGGAGAGACGTAAAAGCTCAATGAGGAGAACTAACTCTGCTCTGAGAGAACCTTCCTCCCCAAGACGTGTGTATTTCTCACAGAATCTCTACAAACATAAATTATATTCTCCCAGGCTTCACCATTATGTAGGGTCACATTATCAGGGATCACCAATATTTACTGGCTTTAGCTTCTACTTGATGGTGCAGAAACTCCAGCACCTAAAAAGCAATTCCTAGGGGAACCATAGAAACCAATCCCATAAGCTGATTTGCAGCACACCCAGCAGGGTTCTGCTTCCCCAGTTCCTTTGCTGATGTGATCTGCTTAGGGAACCCCTTGCAAAAACTCCACCGAGCTGGCTAGAAAATATTGTCTGTTTGTTTTACGTGTTTATTTCTTCAGAGGGAGAAGACTGAGAGAGGACCCCCAACAGGATCTCAATGCTGTGATCTACCCCCAGCCTCAGCCACCCTGGATCATGGGCACACATATGTTGGTCATACTCAGGGAGATCTCTGGACACCAACGTGGAACTTTTCCATGTGGGTAGCCTCGCAGAATGTCATATTTTATTTCTGTGCCACTGTCTGGCCCCTGGATGGAAAAATTCAGCACATATACCTGTGCCCCCAGTGAGAGGCCAGCATTCATGCCAAAGATGTAGGTTCCCGATGTTCTCAAGGGTATTATCTTACCCACTACTTAGAAGCCAAAGTGTCATATAAATAATAAGACTAAATTAAAAGGACAAGACAGGCCATAAAATTGCAATACACTTATCGATACATGGTTAATATAATTAACATTGGGAGAGGTTTTAAAAAGTGTTTAAAAAATACAAACACTCCAGAAAATTGGCAACAGATACAAACAATTCATTAAAAAAGTAATCCAAATCAGCCTTTCCATGCTATCCACCCAAGGGTCCATATGGCGTTGTTCTGGGTTCCCGTCATAACTTAAAGGGAAACTTTCATGATGTCCAGCACCCTTGATGTCCTGCAGATGAAGGAGGAGTTGTCCTCAAATTCCTTGTCGCAGGAACCCACTTAGGTGGCACCAACCTTGACTTCCAAATGGAGCAGTACATCTACAAAAGGAAAAGTGATGGCATCTACCTAATAAATCTGAAGAAGACCTGGAAGAAGCTTCTGCTGGCAGCTCGTGCCATTGTTGCCATTGAAAACCCTACTGACATCATGTCATATCTTCCAGGAATACTGGACAGAGGGTGGTGTTGAAGTTTGCGGCTGCCACTGGAGCCACTCCTACTGCTAGTCACTTCACTCCTGGAAACTTCACTAACCAGATCCAGGAAGTCTTCCAGGATCCACATCTTCTGGTGGTCACTGATCCCAGGGCCAACCACCAGCCTCTCACAGAGGCATCACATCTTATGTTAATCTATCTACCATTGCCCTGTGCAACACAGATTCTCCTCTGCGCTATGTGGACATTGCCATCCCATGCGACAACAAGGGAGCTCATTCGGTGGTTCTGATGTGGTGGATGCTGGCCAGGGAAGTGCTGCGCATGCATGGCACCATTTCCTGTGAACACCCGTGGAAGGTCATGCCTTATCTCTACTTCTACAGAGATTCTGAAGAGATTGAAAATGAGGAGCAGGCTGCAGCTGAAACGTCTGTGACCAAGGAGGAATTTCAAGGTGAATGGAATGCTCCTACTCCTGAGATTACTGCTACTCAGCCTGAGGTTGCAGACTGGTCTGAAGGTGTGCAGGTGCCCTCTGCGCCCATCCAGCAGGTCCCTACTGAAGACTGGAGTGCTCACCTGCCACCGAAGACTTGTCTGCAGCCCCCATTGCTCAGGCCACTGAATGAGTGGGAAAAACCACCAAGTGGTCTTGAGTCTGCTC